CCCCCCACTTTCCCTTACTCATTGATTCGTTTCAGTATGAGGAGTATCATGTAAGTTGTGAGACCTGAAATTGTGTAGTAGCTAATACCTTTAAAATACACAGTATGCGTTACTATGGTGGTTATTATTTTTACCTGGCATGCTCACTTGTCTCTGTTTTGTATTGTTTTTGCTTCATAAGGCTACTGTAATGAAAGTATTAAATGGAAACCCTTTTATGTGCTTTTTCTTTCTTGGAAAAAGACATCTAATCTTTCTGATACTGTCAGCTTTGGCAGTGGAAGTGGTTACATAGATGTGTGTTTTTGTGATGTCATCATGTGGTTACCTTTGAATTTCTAAAACCTTGCTTGTGTTTAAAAACCAAAAAGTCCCACACATGGAGAGGATTTTGTTTTTCTTTTTATGAAAGAGGGTGGATAAGAGATACAAGTTTGTTTACCTCTCTGTGGATACTACGTTCTGATGCTTGTCAGTCTTTTGTATTATTTCATTGTGTTAAAACTGAGAAGTCTGGAAGTGTTTGTTTAGCATTATCCTTTTCTATTAGAGCTTTCTATATAGTAAAAAATGACAGTGAAATTTTAACTGTAATATCATCTCTTGAAAAATAGGACAAATACTTCTGCTTTCTCTAGAATTGTTGTTGTTGGTTGGGGTTCTTTGCTTTATTTTCTTTAAAGAAAGGAAAAAAAGTCTGTAAAGAGTCTTGAAACCTACAAAATCCTCACTCTATCCTTACTAGTAGAATAATAAGCTTGCTACTAGGAAGATTGATATTGGTGCCATTTGCAGCCCCTCCTTAGTGTGGCGGGATAATTGGTGTTTTCAGTTTTGCTGTCTCTTCTCACAGAGTCGAACTGCATTGCACTTACGTTGTTTAATGTCTGTAGCTCTAAGTTTTAAATAAGTGAACTATTTTGTGTTTCTGAAGTTAACTATATTAATATTGCTGATTAATTTCTAGCTGTTACATTGAAATATTAAAAATTCTGTCTTCTACTTTTCTTTTCTTTTTTTTTTTTTTGGTTTTTATTAAGCGGGCCCAAGCTGTTCTTCAGGCAGTGACCGCTGTGCAGGCAACAAATGCACCTATTAGTGGGACCACTGTTAGTGAGAGTGCGGTGACTCCAGCTCAGAGTCCAGTACTTAGAATAATTATTGACAATATGTACTATCCAGTAACCCTGGACGTTCTTCATCAGGTAAGCCAGATTTCATTTTAACTTGAGCTATGATTGGGAGGAACTCATGTATAAAACTTCACAATATTTTTGGCAGATATTCTCTAAATTTGGTGCTGTATTGAAGATAATCACATTCACAAAGAATAACCAGTTTCAAGCTTTACTGCAGTATGGTGATCCAGTAAACGCACAGCAAGCAAAACTAGTAAGTATAGTTCTATTATAAGGCTGGAGACCTTCCTGTACTCTAAACATTTGTAAAATGTTAATATAAGCATACTGACCATAGTAATGTGTCATCATCTTCCACTACTCACATGAATTTTTTGAGACTTAGATGGGAGTTATATAATGTTATATTGAGTAAAATCTGTGCTTAAAGACAATATGTTTAAGGATACTGTGTCTAAAAAGTTGTATATATCTATGACTATGAACACATTCTTTAATAAACTGTGCAGAGTTGAAATAATACGCAAGGCTGCAATAGTGAAACATCAGCTACAAGTAGAAACATGGAATGTAATGTTGATGCATAATTAATTCACTGTAAGCAACAAGTTTAGTAAGTCCATTGGATTATTGTTGGTAGATAATTTCTAATCGTCAAAACAAAGGTGATATTTGTGGATTGAATATAGGTTTGTGAAAGTATTTAATTTTAGTATCCTAAAAAAAGAGTCAACACTACATTAGAACCGTAAATGCTCGGAAGAGAGAGTGCAGTCTTACTTTGGAGACCAGACTGTGAAGAAGCTTTGCAGCAGTGACAGATGAGAGCAGGATCTTACTTTTGTTTTACTGGAAACTCTCCTATCCTGGGTAGGTGAGGCAAGTTACAGGTAACTGGTTCTATTCATTATAACAGGAGAGAGCTATGGATTACTATGGATTAGTGATGATGAGCAACAGCAGTATCTTATCTAGGTTAGATGTTTTAAATAAATTGAATGGGATGTGTTCATATCTGTGGGAATAGGAAAGTCAAACCAAAAGGGAAAGCTAGATTTTTCTAATGATAATTATTTTTTTTCAATACATAAATGGAATGATTTTATATTTTCAAACCTTCACAGTCTGGGTTTGTGGAAGGCTGATTAAAATTGATGAGTTGAAATGTTACTTGGCAGCGTAGAATGTACTTACTGCCCATAGATGACAGAATCGCTGAGAACTTGAGAAGAAAGTGAAAAGCTCAAACCTCAGACTAAGTTGGCAATAAATATATCTTAGTAGAGGAATGAAAAAATGGGTATAGTTTTATGTTGTAATGAATGATACCTATATTTTAATAAGCAACTTCATTAAATGGTGGAGAATCATAATTTTTATCCTTGTCACCAAATGAGTATTGATTAAAAAATTATGAGGTGGTCAAGACAGGGAATCAGGAGAAATGAGACATGTTTTCAAAAAGCAGAGCGTAAATAAATTTTCTCACTATTGAGAGAAATAAAGTTAACCAGAAACACGAAATCTTGCAGCTTTGAGATAATCTCCTCCTGTAAAGCCATCTGGATGTATGTGTAGCTTTGGAGTTCGATTTAAATTAAGGATATCTTTTTCAGAGATGAATAGTATCAAATATTATATCATGTTTCAGAGTAGAGGGAGATGCAAATATGTTGCTGTAATACATAAAAATTTCCTTGGATGGGATACACCATTCAGGTTTTAATTAGGTTTAAAATAGTAATACAGAAACTAGATCGGTAACCTACAATTGCTGCAGAAATTGACTTTAGTAAGTTAGATTCATATTTGAAGTATTAGATAAACAGTTGGGTGATAATGTGTTTGCAGAATGTTGTAATTCAGTATTGATTTGTGTTTGGAAAGTTACTTTTCAGTGATAGATGTTAATGCTGTTTTTAAAGTGCATTTTTTAAGTGAAATGTGACACCAAGTGATAAATCTTTCAACTTCATTTTTGAGCCTTACATATGTTATTGTAAGATTTAATGGAAGGATGACTTCTGTGAAATGGACTGTACTGATTTGAAAGTTAACGGTGTAATTCTAGGAATATGCTATAAAGAAGTAACAAAATAACAAAAGGATGAGGTATGTAGAAGTATTAAAGGAACTTAAGAATCTCTTGCTGTTGTTGACTTTGACAAACTGATGTGAGCTCCTGGGATACTATATTGGTCATTATTTTATTTATTTATTTTTTAAAAGGCATGTATTGGTTTCCCCAGTTTTGCATGTTTTGGTTAGGGTTCACTAGTGGTAGCTCATGCGTGAATGACTAAACTTCAGTGAATAACAGTGCCTCCTGCATGTATTGTCATTGTCAGAGTGATCTTGGAGCCTTAGTGACAAGCTGAAAGGATTTTATGTTTATAGTTCTGTATTCTAACCAATCTATACATAAATAGGCAAAACACTAAGAGTAGTGCCAACTGCAAGTATTGAAGAATGCTAAATATGAAGGAAGGTTTGATTTCCCCGCTACCCTCCCAAGCTAGAGTGAAATAAGTACAGTTCTTATGGTTGAACTACTGTGGTAAAACATATGATGTGCCACCAAAACGAAAATAACCTGAAGGAAGGAAACAGTCAGATGATAGGAGAAAATCCTCCAGTTAAAATGCATCTGGAAATACAGTAGAAGCAAGAGGATGTGGTAGCTACACTTAAGTTGCATGGAGTTCAAAAATAAAAGCATGGTAAAAGAATAAAGAAGTTTTCAATTTGTTTTCCATCAGTTGTTACTATAGAAGATAACGGGGAAATTTAATTTTCCACTGGCACTCTTCACAGGAAATCAGAATGTGGCCTTAATAGAAATTGAAGACTTATTAAGGAAGTTAAAGAGCAATTTGAAAAACTCAAGTAATGTAAGTACCAAGGAGAGATGCTATTCATTTGAAGGTTCTGAGAAAATAGTGACACTGACAAGAATGTACAATACGAAGCCTCTAGCCCTATGGGACCACTTTTGCTATTCGAATGAGCAAGTAGTGAAAAATTGCATTCCTACTCCACTTGCTTTGTGAAAAACTCATTTCCTGTAAAAGTAGTTTATGGCTACACTGATTCATGTTTCATCACCACCCTCAGATTGAATCATTGTAATTCGTTATACCAGCAAGCAGAGGTGAAGTTGACTTCAGGTTCTGTGCAATGCAGCAGTCTAGTCCGTGGATTGGAGAAAGTACTGAGAACTGTTGAGCTACTGTGCTGCTCCTGGTGAAACAGAAGGTGGTGTCCTGGAGATGTCTGTATCCATAAGGAGATATTAATCAAAAATAGCTACTTTTCTTAGTAAATGATCAGGACTGTCATCGTAAGCCACAAACTTGAGTACCAGTAATCTGGTATACCATGGAGTGCCAGTGTTTTTATTTGAACAGCTGGCTAATCCAGTGTTGTCTTTGTGTAAACACATCAGAAGTACTCCTGCAAAATCTTGGATATTGACAACTGTTGATGCGTCATCTATGAGGGTTGACCGAGACTCATATGTAGTGCTTGACAGTCATCATGGCCTGACATTGGTTAAAAGTATCACAAGTCTTATCAGTTTCTGTTGTAGTTGGCCAGTTGGTCCTTACTTGGTCTTTAGGTGGTTCAGAGTACTTCTGCCGTGATTGTGTTAAAGTTTGACTCTTTGTTCAAGATGTCTTCTTTCCAGTTGCTTTGAGTGACAGTTTTGGGATGGCTCTGCATTGGTAGCAGTCTGCAGAAGATCTCTGCTAGGCCACATTGCCCTTAAATCTGTAATAAGAACTTCAGGTTGCTGTTGCCAGAATAGAAGGGAACGACATCTCCAGATATTCAGCTCCAAGGCAATTATCTGTGATTTGCATTAAGGATTTTCAGGCGTCTTGAATCTTAAAAGCACAGAGTAGTGTTCAGGTAGATGGAGTACTGGCTTGTATCCATTGTATCAGAAATCAAAGGAAGTGTAACAAAGGTGTTTCTGTCATGGATTTTCCAATTTTGTAAAAAAGAATAAGATACACAGTGGATCCTTCAGTCAAGGAACTGTACATTAAAAAAAAATGAAAAAAAATCTTATTTTTGGATTTCCAAGACAGTTGTCTCAAGAGAAATCAATTTTGTTCGAATGCACATGTGTAGGATGCACTTGGGACACACCTCTCCAAGAGGTAATGACAATAGGACCTTTAGTTACTTTAAGGTACTTACTTGAGTTGTAGTATATTGTGTTAGGATTATGTGTCTTTTTCTTTTTTTTTTTCTTTTTTAATATCTTAAACTGTTATGCCCTCCTAAAGATCTTGTTTCTAGTTTCTTCTGCTTTGTGTGTTTCTGGAAGAGAGGGAGTAGAGACTGAATTTCCCTTGTTTATTTATTTAAAAGTTTGGAGAGAAGGCAGTGGTTTTGTTGACTTGCCCCTTTCTGCCACTTTTCCTTTCTGTCTAGTCTGATTTTTCTTTATTGGACCTTGGTAAATGCTTTCAAGCTGTCCTCATCCTTCAAGAGATCTCTTTCCTGTCTTGGAGCATTATCTTAGGTGCCTACAGTGCTTGACAAAGAGAAGGGCAGATACTGTTTGTGGCTTGAAGCCACGTGTCTCCAGAAATATCTGTGCTACTTCTGAATGGGGAAATGAGAACATCAATCATCAAATCATTTTCTATCTCCCAAACTTGTTTGTCTTAGGTACTGTGTATGAATTAGGTAAAGAATATTGTGAGTGACGTATCTCTCTGTGATTTTTAGAGGGCTGCCATGACTATCTGCTGTAGGGAGTTTTGTTCCACACATTCATGGTCTATGGGCAGGCCTTAGGAGAAGGTCATTAGAGCATAGTTCTTGTGAATACAGCACTTCTCGAGGGACTTCCATTTCACTAGGATTTTCAGGCATCTTGAACCCTTACCCTCAAAGTAAGAGCAGTGAATTCTATCCATTGCATCAGAAAGCCTTTTGTTAGGTGAGGAAAGCCTGAGAGAAGAAATGGTTCCAGGAATGTTCATCCTCTGCTTCTGAGGCTACTGATAGCTCTAACTCTTACCTGCATGAGGCTGCATCTGAAAGCTGCATTAGTCATTTAGGGCGCTGCAGCATTGTTTGTAGGGTGCTTTTGCCGTCCCAGGTCACCTTTGCTGCTGTTTCCACTTCTCTCAACTTTCACAGTCACATTGGAAAATGAGACATCCTAGTGTCATGAGTATGTGTTGACTAGACAGAAATTCCTACTGTGTGTGGTTGTCTGCAGCAGCAGCAGGAGAAAATACTGTTTATTGAACTCTTATTTTTTTTAATTCCTCTTTCCCCACCCCTCCCTTCCTTTTTTTCCCCATTGAAATACTCTCTTGTCTCACCTCTTACTCTGTGGTATCTTCTGTCAGTCAGCAGTTTTTATCTTTTCATCCTCCTGGCTGCTATGAGCAATAAGAGAGGGTGATTTGACATTATTTTTGAGAAATGGGGGAGTATTTGTGCTTTGTGGTGCAGGCCTCCATTTTGTTGAAATTATTCCCTGTATGGACATTTTTTACTATCCTGCACTCAGGAGTGCTCCATTCTGAATACTTGTGACTTTCCAGGCTATTTCTGTTATTTTCTGTGTTGTTAGGCCTTGCTTGCTTATTCTTGCCTTCAGCGAAATGTGCTGCCTTGAGACACGTGCAGATTTTGGATTCTTTGTGCATATAACCCCAGTTGTTAAGACACTCCCTAAATACTTTGAATGTTTATTTTGAAGTAGTTGCCTAGGAATACTAGCTTCTTTACAGCTAATACGGAGGATTGTGATTTTATTTCTGCTTTGCTCCCTTTCCTAACTGCTGTAGCTGATGCAGAACCATGCAGCATATGTAGTGTTTAGGAGGCATCTTTTTGTTTGTTGTGTGTGTTGGGTTTTTTTGGTTGGTTTGTTTTGGTTTTTTTTTGGTGGTAGTGTTTTTCTTTTCCCCAAAACAGTCAAAGTGGCTATAGAGGGACTTGTACAGATGATAGTGTGTCTGCACTATGGAGTTGGGGTTATTGTGTCAGTTCAGGCATGTTTCCCTCCCCTTGGTTTGTGTGTTAGTCTGAACTGAGAAGGGGATTTTTGTTTGTTATTTTGCAAGTGTTTTCTGCTGATCTTCTGTGTATTCTTACTAACTGTCTTGTTTGTGTACTTCTAAATACCATGGTTTTTTTCAAGAATCTTTATCTTGGCTGGAGGTGAGCCACTGATCAGAGTCATTTTCGCCCTTGAGAAAGTCCAAAAGAAGGGCACTTTTTAGTAGGATACTTTTTAGGGAGGGAAGGCAGGCAAGGGACCTGGAGATGATTTGGTATCGTTGCACTCTTAATATCACATGTCATCAGTTTTGGTACTTCTGCTGTTGGGCTTAATTAATGGATTTCCTGGCACAAGATAAAGAATGATACAGAATGATTTTGTAGTCCCATGATACTTGTTCTCCTTGGTTTGGTATGTGTGTGGTGTGATACTGTGTCACATCTGAATGTGTGTAGAGATAAATGCTCGAAGAAACAGAAGTTTCGTAGCAGTAGCTAGAGCTCCTTCTCTGTGCATTCACTAACAGTATGGCTACTGCCTTTTCATTTTTTTCTGTTTGAGAGGAACAGGATTTGAGGGTTTGCTACATTCTTTTATTGCCGTGTATAAGAAGGAGCTAAGGACACACATTCCTTGTTGGGACTTCTCGTTTCAATAGCTAACCTTGGGAAAAAAAAAACCCCAAAACTAGTTGTTGGTAGTCTTTCTTGCATTGCTTTTGGAGGTCTATCATGCTGCTAGTAGACATGGGTGGGGTGGGGTTTTTTTGGTTTTGATCTGTTGCCAGGAGCCTTTCCCAAAGTGTGACAGTGCTCATTAAGAGTGCATCTCCTTCCTTTCTGGTTCAGGATGTTCTGTCAGACTCTGTGTCCCAACTCCAAGGGTTTTCTCTTGTGCACTATTCTTTTGTATGAGCTTTTGGTCGTATTCTTTTGTACGTACTTTCTGTCACTTTAATTTTGTCAGAAAGAGAAAGCTTTACTTTTTCGATATAAGTTTAATTGCTTATGCATCTCCCCTTAAACGCTGACTACTCTGGAAACTTCAAACAGAGTTATATTTTGGTTTGCTGCTTTTGAGGACTAAAGTCATAACAGCCTTCTGCCAGCCGTAAATCAGTGCATCTACAGACTCCACACAGAGGTATAATATTAATTTTAATTGTATTTTAGAAACTTAGAGCTTTATGTCATGGTCCTGTGATTGGGACAAAGCTAAAGGATACTGCTGCCTTTTGGTCTCATCCAGACCTAGTTTTCTTCATTATGTGAATGGATATTTCCTTGATGGCAGTGGCATTGTCTTTAACAATAAGTAACCTTTGGCTATGTAAACTGGACCTACCTTTAATCCATATCTTAGTGGATTTTAGAAGATAAGTCTTCTAAAAGTGGTGACTACTTCTCAGTGTATACTTTTTTAGATGTAAGCGTTCAGGAGAGATTCTCTTCCCAAATACCGGCATGAAGAGTTTTAGATTCTACTTTGTCACTGCATATATAAGAATGGCAAATTCTGTGTTCTGTAATGGTGATGCCCACCCTCCCCAACAATACAGAATTAATCCTCAGCTTGTATTCTCTAAATCTGAATTCTTTTAATATATGAATTCTATGAGTGAAGAGTGTGCTGCAGCCAACAGGATGCTGGATCGCATCAACAAGGGCATCCCCAGCAGGGATACAGTCATTGTCCCACTCTACTCGGTGCTTGTCAGATCACACCTGGAGCACTGTTCAGTTTCGATGACTGCTATACAGAAAAATGTGGTCCAGAGAAGGGCCAAAAGGGTGATCAGAGGAGTGGGAAGCCAGGCATATGAGGAAACAATTGGGTTTATTCAGCCTTGAGAAAAGAGTGCTTAGGGGAGACCACGTTCTGTGTTCCCTCATGTTCCAATATTTAAAGGATGGATGCAAAGAAGATGGACATTCCCTTTCTACGAGAAGTCACATGGGAAAGATGAGGGATAATGTGTACAAGTTACTCCAGGAGAGATTCTCATTACACACAAGAAGAAAATATTTCACAGTGCGGACAGTCAGCTTTTGGAAAAATCTCCCCAGGTAGATGGTGGATTCCCCAACCTTGGATGGTTTTAAGATTCAGCTGGATAGGGTCTGGGGCCATCTTGTCAAGACTGTGCTTTTGCTAAGGAAGTTTGGACCAGATGATCCTTGAGGTCTCTTCCAACCTGGTATTTTATGATTCTATGAATTTTCCTTACCAGTATTTTAGAAAGCGTCATTTAAGCTGGGTTTCAAACACAGGAGTTTCTCTTGAATTGCAAAGTGTTTGTTGAGATGATGTCTAGATTGTCAGGTTCCTATACTTTTTTTTTTGGTGGTGTTATTTTGTGTTCCCATTACTTGGTAGTTCTGATAATACTGACTTACTTATTCTTGTACTTTGACTGCTAATGGCAGTAATTCTTTTAAGTGATTTCATGACCCCTGGAGATGTCAGCTGTGATAATGCATTTTGTAGGAAGAGATGGCCATGCTGGCCTAGACCTAGCAGAGGGGTGTCTACATGATGTTCGCTTTCCAGATGCATCACTGCATGAAAATAGCTATGTTGCTTCCATACCCAGCAGGCACACTAGGTTCATGCAGTGCGTGGCTCAAAATAGTAAGTCCTACCAGAACTTGAATGTGTTGGAAAATGTATTGCAGATGTAACCAACCTAGCTCTGCGAGAGCTAGCTCAGGGCCAGAAGTGGTGCATTTCAGCCCAACATTAATCATGAGAAACAAAAGATCCAATTTCTCTATTGGAAAGTGTGATTTATTTGGGGTTTTTTGACCACATGTGTATATATAAGGTAATTCTATATTTAACACGACAACTTGATTGAATAGATTAATTTTTGATTTCAGCTGTGTCTTCACTTCTTGGCATTTGTTGAGAATTTAAACCAAATTAGTTGCAGAAGTTTCCGTTTTTTAAATCTTCTGTATTTACGTATTAGTGATTCAAGTGAAAGGAAGATATGTCTAGAAGGTAAATGGAATAAAATCTGAGTATATCGATTTTCCTGATGTGTAATGAAGATGGGCAAAACATATACAATTACAACTTACTAGAGAGTGTTTTCATGGAGGTCTAAGTGGTGTCAATTGTTAAGAGTTTATGTGAATTTTACTGTTAATAGGCATATCCTTCCAGAAGTACCGATTAATTGTGAAAATAGGATTTTTTAAAAAAATGTTGGTAAGTGTTAGATTAGCAGTTCAAGTTGGTTTTCTCTCAATTTTGGCACTAATTACCTTTAAAGGGAGAAGCAAAAACATGAAGAATCAATGTAAATATTCTTCTTTAACAGATAGCTGTGTAACATGGTATTTAAGTCTACATTTTAATTTTTTTTCCTCTGGTCAACTTTCCATATCTAAGAGTGCTTGTGTGATTCTGAATTTTTTTTTTTCCTTTGAGAAATTTATTTACTACTATGTCTGAATTAAAGCTGTACTGTGGAATACAAGTTAATTGACAATATTAAACAGGCTCACTTTTGACAGCATTAAGATATATCTTGCCACTTCGGTGCATGAACAGTTTCTAGGTAAGAGAAGTAAACATCGAGCTTCCTGGAATCATGTTAAGAGAGGTTAATGCATTTTAATCTTAATTGGTTTTAAGCTAGATAGTAAGACGGATAAATATCTATACGCTGACCTTGTTTGGGGTTTGTTTTTTTTAAAAAAAGTTGTGCAACCAACCTGTATTTTTTGAATAAATTGACTCCTTTTTCTAGGCCTTAGATGGTCAAAATATTTATAATGCTTGCTGTACTCTACGGATTGATTTTTCTAAATTGGTGAATTTGAATGTGAAGTACAACAACGATAAAAGCAGGGACTACACTCGTCCTGATCTTCCGTCTGGTGATGGACAGCCAGCGCTGGACCCAGCTATTGCTGCAGCATTTGCAAAGGAGACCTCTCTTCTAGGTATGATTCTGACTGTTCATTTGTATTTCAGAGCCACTTGATCAAAATGTTTATTAATCTTCCTAATAATTAAAGATCTTAAATTTTTATAGCATCCAAAGGTCTGTTGAGGGTTCCATCTATATTGTGATGTAGTAACACAATTATATTATCTTTCAAAGTCCTGCATAAATGAATAAAGGAACGGATGATAAAATGAGGAATGCACAGGGTATAAGGAAAAGCCAAGTTAGTCCTTCCTTTTATTCCCAGATCTGTCTTCCCCTCTTTCAGTGTTCCTGTCAGCTGCTGCTGCCCACCTTGCCCACCCTCACACCCAAGTTTGTAACAGAGACTTAACATGATTTGCATGTGTCATTCATGCTAATGCTTATTTGTAATACCTAATTATGAACATAACATGTTGTTGATTTCCTTCAATGAGGAAAAATTATACTTTTTCTTTAATAAGACTCCCTTTGTGTATATTAAATGTTTTTGCTGGTGAAATTATGAAGTTGGCAGTCTTATTAGCTAACTAATTATTTTAATTTTCACACTCTGTATGGACCTTTTAAAATATGCTGGTTTTCCAAGCAGCAGGAAAAATAAAAAGCATGTGACGTGAGTAACATTCATTGTGGCTGTAAAAGATTTTCAGAGCATCGGTGACGTCAGTCATATTTATTTTGATGAATAGTGATTATATATCATGGTTATTTTTCTCTTCTGTAAAAGCATTCATTGTCTTGAGAGGGACTTCAGGGAGATGGGTGCGTTTTTTGACTCTGCTTGTGGCCAGTTTGGCTAGCTTGCTGTATTGTATCTCCGCATCATCTGTCAAATAAGGTTGATTTTACAGTGGGGATTTTTTTGTTTGTTGTTTGGGTTTTGAACTGGGTTTGGTTTTTGTGTTTTTTCCTAGTTGCCTTTGTTTCTTTGTTTTTACAGAATTTGAGCTTTGGAGTTAAAAAACTTCACAAAAAGGCTCCATAGTACTATGGTGCCATAGCCATTTGTTTAGTTGTTAAAATAGGAATGGTGCTTGTTTGAATATGGAAGAACAGGGTTCTCTTTCTGAGCTGCCTACTGTGCAGAAAGCATGAAATGCAAGTGACATAAATAAGAAGGGATAAAGGACAGAAAAAAGCCTAAATGGACGCTTGTGTGTGCAATTTATAGCTTTATTTTTATTCAGATACTCGCAAAAAGAAAGGGTGAGGTGAGAACACTTAAAAGTTGAGAGAGTTAGGATGGAGGCTGGCAAACTATAATGTCTGAAATACAGCAGAATGATAGCAGCGACCTTCCTTCTGCCTCTTAATATTTTAATTCCTTTTATGCGCTTTAGAATTCTTATTTCTGTATTGTCCATAGAGATATCTTCAGAGTGTACTCAGTCAGAGTTTCTGCTGTGCCCTGTTCAGAAATGGTTCCCAAAGGGTGTGTTTCTCCATGAAAGAGCAGAGCTCCATTTTGAGCTTAATTTGATGCTCTTCGGGTTCTTCTGCGTGCTCAAAAGAATGCCATAAGTTGAACCTGTGGCATTCTTGTTAAAATTCTTGCTCTCGCTCTTCTTTTACACGTATATAATGAGATCACTAACAGAAATGTGGTATGGATTCTGTTCTGACTTTCGCTTATGTTATGCTGTTATATGGTGGATGGTTGTGCAACTTGTGTGCCTTTCTGTTGACTCTTTAACAGTATCCTATAATTCATATGTCAGAAGTGATGTTTAGGTTTGTATCTGTATTAATACTAAGCCATTACAACATCTCACTTTCCTTATGGATGGAATTAACCCTCCTTTTTAGTAAATGTGACTGTGATATATTATATTAACACTTGTAGCTTTGTAAGCTTTATGCAGGGATTTTAAAAGAACCTGCTGTCTTGTCCAAACCCATCCAGGTTAAGTACAAGAAGCAGGCCTGTAGGAAGTACAAAAAATGGTTACTTGACAGTAAACACCCAAACAAGGTTAATTATGGGACTGGGAACTAAATCCAGGTCTCTGTCACAGTTAGGAATACCTGTATTAAGGTGACTACTGCTGGCTATAGTTTTCACACAAGTTCATTATGTATATTTAGTGTTTCTTTAATATGCCTTTTATTAAATTGGCATTACTAATTTGCATGTCATAAGCCACACAAAAGATGCACTGAGGGGTATTAACCAGTATGACATGCTATGTTTAAACTTCATTGAGGAAGAAGACCTCAAAAGGCCAGGAAGAAGTCGTATATTATTTTTATGTTTTCAGTAATACTCAGGAAAAACCAAAAACCTGATATCTGTAATTGTTGACAGCTAGAATAAAGCCAGTGACAAAGCTTTCTAGTACTGGTTGATCATGTTGACAAAGTAGCTAACATTTCTAGTTTCAGATTGTCTTCACATATTAAACAGTATCGTGCATGATAACTAATGATCGTAATACAAGTTGTTCTTATTTCTTGTTTATTAGAATTTTTTGACCTGTTTTAATCAGAATGGCGAATCAGAGTGCAAATCAAATAAATGATTGTTGCCCACATGCATCATTACTCATTTGTCTACTACATTTTCAGATGTGATGTCAGAAGTCTTTGAGACTGTAAATTGGATATGTTTTCAATGAGTCTTATCTTTTGAAAGAAGCAGAAAATCACTAATGGACAAAACGGGCTGGTTTCAAATGAATTATCAGAAGCAGGTGGTTGATTTTTTTTTCTTTTTCTTTTTTTACCACCTCATGTATGAACAGATATACACATTCTTCCCCCCACAAGGTACTGAAGACCTTACAGAAAAAAACCTGTGAATAAAGAGCAACTGCATTTTACTGAACTGCAACAAACAAAAACTGCAACAAACAAAAGACTTTAAATAAAAACTGCTTACAATTGGAAATATTAGTATGTAATAATACTTTAACTCTGATTTAGGTATTTATTTAATATTACCTAAGAATGTCCTGTAGAGAGTCTGATGCTGTGTCGAATTTTGCCTTTTTGTGTGAATTACTCAGTTGTGCTTTGCCCAACTATGGAAAGTCATAAGAACTTCACTAGTCATCTTTAGATTGCTGTATTCCTAAAAATACTGGTCTGACTTAAAGCTTCTAAACTTAGAGAGAGCTACACTGCTAGACACACTAAAACATATGAAATGCTCACTAGAGCATTGACATTTCCTAATGATACCTAAATGATTGCTACTCACCTGGTAGAAAATAAGTTGTTTTCCTTCATGTGGACAGCCATCAGACCTTCACATTTCTGTCAGTATGATTTCGGCAGTAGTTGAGTGTAAACAAACATGGCATTCAGTATATGCTATACAAGGCAATCAAAAGTGCATTTTCAGTTTTTTTATACAGAATTGGATTTATTGTTTTTAATTACTTGAGGAGTTTAATTTGATGTTCACAGGTTTCCCAGTATTTTACAGCCTTGTTTGTGGAATAAATGTCTTGCTTCTTCTACAGGGGTGCTTTCTTTAACTACATCCTTCCTTAATTGTTTCTTAGTGGAAGTAAAACTGTGTTCTTCAGCTTTAACCTAGTGACAATACATGTGTCATTTTTATGTTAGATTTTTTTGTCTTGCTATTAGTATATATAAGTATATAGTATTACTTTTCCACACAGAATGGGTTTTGAGAAACAAAGCTGCTGTGCTTGGACTAGCAGTGGTCCATCTGTTTTCATATCCTTTTTCTGACAGCTAGTGTACTTCTGCGTTCCCTGAGTGGAGACCTAGCGCAGCCCTCGGAAGGGGCGGTCCTGCAGGGCCGTACCCGAGGGCAGTGCCTTCCTAACCCCCAGGGAGCTACTACTTGGCTTACATGATGAAGCATGTCGTATGTCACACTTTATTGTGTACTTAATGTTGTTTCCGTAGACCATCTAATGCAGTCTTAGATCTAGTAACTGTTTTTACAAGGTAGAAGGGAGAAAGACAGGATAAGGGTTTCCCTTCTCTTTATGTATTGTAGTCTGTTCCATGAATACCACATATAATGCAGTAACAGATCATATTTCTTGTCTTTTGATTCAAGTAGATTTTCCCTTTATCTTGTGGCATGAGGGATGACTGGAATTGTCATTATTCACAACTCTCTGTTCCTTTGATTTGACCGTTGAATACTAACATTTTTAATGTTTATCAGAAGGCATTCCATATCTTTAATTTCCTTTCTTGGGACACTTACTGTTTTTTATTCTTTATGTGCTTTGACATGAAATGACCAGAAAATATTTTTCAATGCTTGATCAGTAATACTGCTATGCACTATTGCAAAGTAGTGATGGATGCCCTGTTTCCTTTGAGGTGTCCTTTGTCCAGCCCAACAAAATATGTATCTTTTTAAAATAGTAAATATATTTTTCACAAATGTGTAAGTGTAATACAACATAAATAGCCAGAATGAAGATAGACATACCCAAATCTGAGAACCCAATTGCAGAAGAAAACAAAACACTGAAGTTATACATCTTTATTATTTATTACACATTTTGCGATGTCAGTGACCTTTTACTGAACTATGTAAAATGTGCAAATAAAATTGTAATCGAAGATAAAGCTGTTCCTATGTAAGCTATATATAGTGCACATGGATCACAAGAACGTTTCACAGATCCTGGAAGTAGCACACTTGCTTAGTGCCCCAGTGATGAGACGTAAAATGAACCGATCTCTACAGGATCGGGGTATCTGTGAAGAGGAGAACTAAAAGCACAGCTGAAGTTTAGCAAACGGTAACACACTTCTTCAGGGAATTGGATTACAAAAGCCATAGAGCATAATTAGTGGTGCTGCCTTGGTTCTTGCATTTAGAAGGTTACCTCCTCACCTCATTTTACTAAAGGGTTGGTGTTGTATATTTAGTCTGAAGCATCAAGTACTAATATAGGTACTTTTTCTAAAATGACTTGTGTGTGTTTCGTAAAATATGCTTTATTTTAAAATTAGGGCTTCCTGTTGCAGCTGTTCCAGGAGCTCTGAGTCCTTTGGCTATTCCAAATGCTGCTGCTGCAGCCGCAGCAGCTGCTGCTGGCCGTGTGGGAATGCCTGGAGTTTCAGCTGGTGGCAATACAGTCCTCCTGGTTAGCAATTTAAATGAAGAGGTCAGTGAAACAGTTGTACTCTTTTTTCCTCTGTAGTCACATTTCATTTGTCAATATTTTATAATTTCTTTGCATTTGACCTCTTACATTTGGATTTGAAGCTCAAAGTGTTTTTGCTGTTATTTTGATTTTTATATTTTTTAATAATCCCCTCAAGTTAATTTTAAAGCTGCTTTTGTTAAATACTTTTGTTTTCCCAGGTAGCTAACAACTTAAAATGCCCTTTGATAGTTGGCTACCTATTTTTTCTAAGAAAAATGTGGTAACTGCTGCATGTTCGACATGAATTGAAAGCTTTGTTTTTACAAAATAGTAAATATGCTTTCTTTTGCAATTATCATGTAAACTGGGATTTCTATTTTGTTTCTTCTAATTGTTCGCTGTTTCATTTCATGCTTGTTTCTCACATTTTAAGGTCTTAATTTATGTGAACTACTCTAACACATTTTTCTTTAAAGGTTCTCCCAAAGATCTTGACGAAGCACTCTTCCAGTCTCTCTTAGTAATTTTTTTCTTTGCAGTTACTCATTTGTTTTTAAAAAAAATAATAAAAATAATGGTGGCAAAGCATTTTCACCTTAACTGTATATTTCTTGCTAACTCTGAAATCTAAAGGGGTTTATTTAGTTTTGCATTTTCACTGTCCTTTATGTTTATTTTGATGGCTGTGAAAGCTGGTATGAAATGTGGGGAGTTTGTATCAGTCTAGCTGTTCCATTTTTAACTGGCCTCTGTCACTGTAAATCATTAAGCTTTTTTTATCATCTGGTACTATTTTGTCATCCACAGTCTTGCATGTTAAAATGTTTTAGATCAGAGTGCCATTTTGAAAGATTTTTTTGCCTGCATTTCATAACCAGCCATGCTTACGCAGTTAAAAGTTCAAAGTTTAAAATTTCTATTGCATGCTTTTTTTTTATTTATTTTCATGTTGAGATGAAAAGCTGTAGTTTACTCTTGATATGGATGTACTTTACCCATATTTGTCTTGGGTGACTACATTTTACTCAGTTTTTCTTGTACAGTACATAAACCAACCATTTTCTGACCAAATTCCTGCATTTCCTATGTACTGACCTATATTTTATTTTCTTTTGTTCCCCACTTCCTTATTTTTTTTCTTCTGCATTGCTGTATCCCCCTCCCCATTTCATCCTTTTCCCTTTGTGTTCAACTTCCCTTTCCTTGTCTTTACCCAAATTCCCGTGCCCTTCCCTGTCTTACCCTTCTCGTCTTTGTCTGTGTTCCCGTCTTCATTCCCTATGTTCATGCTTCTGTGCTTGAACAAAATGTTCCTCGGACCAACTTGCCCCAATTAACCGCCTTGAAACCATGATCCATGACCACCTCACCATTCTGCGGGAACCACCCTTCGTTATGGATGATCT